CCCTGGAAAAGGAAGGAAGGAATCAGCAGGGTTGGTGTGCAGTGGGGGGGCAGTGGGCAAAAGAGACTGTCCGGGGCTGGTCCGTGAGGCTGGTGACAATTCTTTGGCTTCCCTTGCAGAACGCCCGTCCACCGCCATGTCCGAGAATGGATACCTCGAAGAGTCAGATGAGCCCCTGTCAGGTGAGGGCATGTGTAGAGCTCCTTCCTAGAAGCCTCCAGGGCACTTGGTCTACCTTCTGTGTTCCACTTTCCTCAAGGCTGCCCTGTGGTGGGACAGCCCCTGACAAGCCTAGGCAGGCAGGTCCCTGGGGGCCATGTGGTCCTGGAGGGCAGCTGCTCCATGGCACACCCAGTCTGACCAGCCTTAGGCCAAGTTTGGTGTATGCCCATGTCCCTCAGACCCCAGAGTGACGGGAGGTGCTGCCCTTGTCCCTTTAAGGAAACGTAACTTCTCTGGGCTTCAGTTGTCCCTGCCTGCCCTGGCTGAACTGTCACGGCTCTGGCCTAGCTTCATGCTGCCTTCCCTGTACCCAGCCCCATGAGCTGGTCTGGCCATTGGGGATTGTTCAGGGGAACAGTGCTTAGACATAGTGGCGAACGCTTGGGGTTCTGTGTGCCAGGCCGCTGGGCTTCAGATAGGGGAGAGGAATGGACAATGTGTGAAGGACAGGGCTGGAGAATAGTGGGTGCTGGTAGGGGTGGCAGAGGGGAGGCGGGGGGAATCAAGTTGTTTAAACAAGGCAGGTCTAGGATGGGGAGTTTGCCATGAACTCTAGGACTAAAGCAGAGAGGACATCTTTGCGTTTACTAGTTCCCTCTGGGCTCCGGATGCAGTGCAGGCCTGGGGCAGGGCGAGGCCCCCAGAAGAGTGGCCTTGATGGGCGAGGCCTGGCGCCTACTGCCCAGGCTGAGCGCGGGATATCGGGGAACAGGGCCTGGGATGTGCAGAGGAAGCTGGTGGCGGGAGTGGAAGTGAGTCAGGGTGAGTCACTGCCTGGCAGGTGTAGGCGTGCTGCTGACCCTTCCCTGTCCCCGCACAGGTGTTTGTCCAGTACTAGCGGGGTCTGGACAACAAGGGCACCTTTCTTGGAGCATCCGCAATTGCGGAGCTAGAGGGAACCCAAAGGACAGCCAGGGAGCGATGTGGGCTGGACCAGGAGTGAGGCAGGGAAGACTTCCCAGAGGAGGAAGCCTTCCAAGTATGTCTTGAAGGCCTTCTTGAGAAGTAAGCTCTCTGCCTGGAAGACAGGAACTGAGATGTTCAAGAATGAGGGAATTGGGGGGAGTGGGACCGGGTCTGAAGAGCTAAGGATCAGGGCAGGGGGGAGCAGGGCCGGTTGTGATTACTTAGGCTGCAGGGAGCCACAGCAGGGCTCAGAGGATACAGTATTTGCATGTTACCAGGGAGTCTTCCTGTAGGAAGGGGCCCGTGTTGTGGGGTAGCTGCAAGAATTGAGGAACAGACCCAGAAAAAGAGGCAGCAGGCTCTCCTACATCCCGGGCTATGTCCAATATCTACACTTCACCCCACCTGCTCTCCCTGGGAGCAGGAGCTCTAAGATCCTAGGCCAAGGCAGCAGGGGCCTGGAGACTACAGGGGCTCTCTTCCTTTGGGTCCCCTAACCTCGGCGTCCTGGAAGGGCAGGGGCATCATTGCTCCCATGCCTGGCCCAAAGCATAAAGAACGGCACAGTTGTCTCGAGCCAGAGTCAGAACAGCATTGGCCCCTGATTTCCTGCAGCTGGAGAATGGTGGAGAAAAGTCACTGGGGCGCAGCCAGTGGGTGATGGGGTGTTTAAGGTGCTGGATTCCAACATGAACGACCATGGTTTGACTCCTGGACCCAGCTTGAATATCATATAGGGCAGGGATAGCAGATGGCGTAATGGTTATGTTGCTGGACTGCCACGTAGTCCATTGCAGTTTTGAGTCCTGGACCTGGCAGCTTAAAACTCATGCTGGGTGCGTGTGCGTGCATGCCCAAAGTCCCAGGAGGGGAATGGAGGAATTGTGGCATGGCTATCCCTCTTAGAGGGTAATTTCAACTTTCTGTCTCTCTCTGTCTCTGGTGAGTGCATGCACTCTATAGCAAAAATCTCTCAAAAAAAAAATAATCAGGACTAGCAATTGGCGTAATGGCTATGTCGCTGGACTTCCATGTAGTTGACCGCGGTTCGAGTCCCGGACCCTGTGCTTAAACTCATGCTGGGCACGTGTGCGTGCGTGCCCAAGATCCTGAGAGGAGAATGAAGGAGAAGGGATTGCAGTGTGGCCATGCCCCCTGGGGAGTGATTTCTCATTTTCTGTCTCTCTGTCTGTCAAGCGTTCGCACTCTATAGCAAAAACTTCTCCAAAAAAAAATCACAGAGTGCATGTGCATGCGTGCCCAAAGAGGATGGAGAAGGGATTGTGGTGTGGCCATCCCCCAGGAGGGAAGAGTTGTGATTTCTCACTTTCCTAAAGAAAGAAAGCCACTGGGCACAGAGCTGCCTGCTCTGGGTGCCAGCTGTCATGCTCCGGGCAGGGCTGGGACTAGACCAGATACTCTGCCTCCTTGGCCTGGCAAGGCCTTTCCCACCATTCCCTGAGGGTGGACAGCCCAGGGGTGCCAGCTCCTTGGGCTTGGGGCCATTTCTCCCATTATGCAGCACTGATAGCCAGGCCCTTTTGGGGGCCCTTCTTGGTGACAGCTGGGACTCTAGGCTACTTCAAGTGTGACACAGATGACACCTCTAAGACCTGTGAAGAGAATCTGGGGGATGAGGCCTTTGATACTGTCAACTCCTCCATCGTGTCTGGCGAGAGCATCCGTTTTTTTGTCAACGTCAACCTCGAGGTGCAGCACGCCACGGCTGGTACGAGGGCCACAGCAGGCACAGGCTGGGGTGGGGAGGGCAGGGGATTGGGCAGGTGCAGCACCCCTTTACCAAGAGAAGCCTTGGGGGTAGTGGAACCCTGAGTCCTCCCTGCTTTCCTCCAGCTGAGGACGAAGTCACATCCGGCGGCTGCGTGCTCCTCCACACCTCCCGCAAGGTGAGCGGGGCATCCTGCTTGGTGAACCCGGGCAGCTGCTCCCCTTCCTTCCTGTGCTGCTCCTTGTCCCCTGGCTTCCTGGGTTCCCACACAGGGGTCTCAGATTAGCCCGAGGCCGGGCCCCGCCTCCGGGAAGGGGGTGTTCCTGGTGCAGCCACCACGGAGGAGGGGCTCATTCATGAGCCTATGTGGTCTGCGCCTGTGGTCCCCACAGTACCTGAAGTTAAAGAACTTCAGGGAGGAGATCCGTGCGCACCGGGACCTGGACGGCTTCCTGGAGCAGGCCAGCATCATCCTGAACGAGACGGCCACCTCCCTGGACAAGGTGCTGCGGGCCATGCTGAGCCGCTTCGCCAACGACCCCAACTACGTCGAGCCCGACTGCAGCCTGGACCTGCTCATGGCCATGCTCTTCACCGACCCCGAGGCGCCCATGGAGGGGAAAGGTGAGGCCCAGCGGGCCTGGGCAGGGGAGGTCACGGCGGTGAGTTGGCTGACACCCCTCTCTGTCCTCAGTCCATCTTCTGTCAGACACCATCCAAGGCGTCACCGCCACGGTCACGGGGGTGCAATACCAACAGTCGTGGCTCTGCATCTTGTGAGTTGCTGGGCTACGATCACCACGCTTGCTCCCACCAACCCCCACTTGTCACACTGGATCTGGGTGTACCATGTCCCTGCAGAGGCTGGCCCACCGCGAGTGGCACAGCTCTGCAGCCCACCCAGTTTGCGAGGAAAGGGGCTGAGCAGTCCATCCCACTTGGTCTGTTATCTTTCTGAGATTACCAGGGGTCAAGGTCAGAGGTTCCGGGTGGGGGAGCCCAGAGGTTACCAGGGGTCAAAATCAGGCGTCTTTTGTGAGGAAGCCCCAGCTCCCGAGGAGGACAACTGTGTACTGTGTGCCCTCCCGTCCCTACCAGGTGTACCATGAAGGGCCTACAGAAGCGGCACGTGTGCATTAGCCGCCTGGTTCGTGCACAGAACTGGGGGGAGAATTCCTGTGAGGTTCGCTTTGTCATCCTGGTGCTGGCCCCTCCCAAGATGGTGAGTGGGGGGGTCTTGGGATGGCCTTGCTTCCTGGGAAGGAGGGTCTGAGTTGCCCTCTCCTTGGGAGCTTCTCTTTTGGAGTTGGAGGTTGCCTTTGTCCCAGCCTCCAAAGCCCTCCTCACTCCTCCCCGTCACCTCTGCCCCCTGGATTTATTGGGAATGTCCTTGCTAGGGCCTGCTTGAGGTCTTAACTTCTCCAGAGGCTGCCCAAAGGTTAGATTTCCTTCTTGAATGGAAAGAAATGCTTTTTATAATTACTGTTAATATTATTCCAATATAGGGGCCTCCCTTTGGCCTGCTTCTGATTCCCACCCTCTTGTGATTGGCTGGCCAAGCTTCCCCAC